GATTTAATGATACTTTATAATGATTTATAAAAATGAATTTTGTTTTTGATTCTTATTAATTTATTTATCATTTCAAACTTATATACATTGAAATTATTAATTATGATTGGAATATAATTTAAAGATTATAAATTTTACATTAAAAAAATATATAAATTTTTTTGCATTAAAAAATACAATAATATTGTATTTTATGCACATATTATGTAATAATTAATCATATGATATACTTGTTTAATATGTTATTTATTATGGAAATAAAGAGGCTATAATAATAATAATAATAATTTTCTTTACTGCTTAACCTGACAAAATTGCTAAATTGAGACTATATGAATAAATGCAGCCAATTGAACATTGTCTGTAGACATCTTTTTCTATCTTGATGGAGTCATCCTAACTAAATAAATACTGTTAATATAATATTTTTAAATGGCTTATTATTTACACATTATAAATTTAAAAATACCTATGTTTTTTTAAACAACAAAAACGAGAAGAAAAGAATACTAAAATTCATGAAAATAGTGAGGAAAAATTTAATTATAATAAATATCTGCTAGTAATATGGCATTCTTATTTTTTGTAAAATATGATATTATATTGGGGGATTATGTTTTTGTTAGACATGCATAAATAATTAATTGAATATTATTGAACAATGTGCAATTATTTGTAGGTACACTGAAATCTTCAATGAATCAAAGTCAATAATCTATAGTAAATTATAAACTCAATATCTACGAAGTCGGTAGTCGGAAGGGCATTGCCGTCTTGTTTCTCATCTCCGTCTACATTTTAATAATTTATTTATAATCACACTCTAAACTCAAAATACCCCAAAATATCGTAAATATAAAAATTATATTTTTTTTCCTATATTAGCCATAGTAGATAAATCTTATTATTTTAACTTTATTAACAAGTTTTAATAAAAAATATTGAATTTTATAGGTTCTAAACTATTATTTGGACATTTCGATACAAAAAAGTTGAACAAAAAGTAACTTTTTTAGAATCGCTTATTCTGTCATAGTTGGAAGGCGCGACTGTCAAATTTCGGTTCACCCGAGCGGTCATGGTACGGATTTTCATACAAATTGAACGAACGAAATCTGATAACCGCTAAGGTCACGACTGGGAACATAAACTGTCTCGTTTTTTCGATGTCATGGTACGAATTAGCGATGCATCTCAGTTGTAGGTTGTCAATAGGCTCGCAATAAGAGTTCATGGTAGGCCCCCAGTGCCACCGTAGAAAGAGTATAAAACTAGATGAGCTTCTAAAATAACAATAATAACTAAAGAGAGAAGGCATTAACGTGAAATACTTAAGTGCGAGCGAAACAGAGTATCAGTTTTTCTGTCTCTATTTGCGTATCGAGTTTTATTTAATTATTTGTTTACCACCGAGCCCTTGGTGGTAAACAAGCTTTCACCGCTTACTGATAAATCTGTGAAACCCAAGTCAAACCCATATTTTAAGACTTTATCCTTATAAGAGGTGTATTTAAAATGTCAGTGTGTCGGTAAGTAGCTTATTTTGTCTCAGTAACTTTGTTCAAGAATTATTCATTCAAATGTGTATTTTGTATGAATATTGTGTATACCATAGTTCGTCTACGAGTACCACAAACTTTTCTTTACCGTCGCCATTTTGAAAAGTCAGACTGACAGTTTACTTACTGTAATTTCTTTGTGCGTACAATAAATAATTTTAGTATCTATTAACTATCCAACTAAGGCTCGATTCATCCAAACTTAAATTTATGGCTGCGTCTATTCATCCGTCAACTATTATTATATACTAACCGATTTTTGAAGTTGTACTTCTTTAGGCGCGTTATGAAAAATTGATGAGAGTGAAATTTTACGATGCGCGCGCACCTGTGACACAAAATTGGGAGTGTGATATAGCGTGCGCGAGCGAGATGGGAATAAGACAATCTACAAGTAAAAAGAAATAGAATATGCGTGAAGCTAACTTCACGCATATTCTATTTCTTAGCTTAGCAGCTTAACAAGAATTTTGAATGACCATGACATCTGACAATGACATTTACCTTTTAAACAAATATAAGGAGTTTTAATTATTGTTGCAAATTAAAAGATTATATACCTAGTTATTTTCATTATACAAGTGCGAATTTTATATGTGCGTCTGAATTATAATCAGAAGTAATTTAAATTGAATATTTAAATCAATACTAATTAATATTATTCTACGACCCTATATATCAATAATTGAGAACAAAGATTTAAGCATTCGACTAATAAGGAGAAAATGAAGGCTTGGAGCGATATAACAGAGAAGTAAACATTTTAATAAGTACCTGCATCTCATAAATGACCACATTATTTAATCAAAACATGTAATTTTTCAGATTTCATCTAGCAAATATAAGGACAAGAGACAAAAAACAATTGATGAATCAGTGGAAGTGCACTAAATTGTATACAAAAAAAGAGTTGTCATCTTATCGCCGTGAAACATCAAAAACTGGAGGTGGAACAAAGCCACCATCACAATGGACATGGCAGAGATGATACCGCAACGGTTTGAAGTAGATTTCAATGAATTTGATTGTGATGGTGTCGAGGTAGGAATGTTAATTATAAATATGATGTATGGTGATGTTCAAGGTTCAACCTCTCAAGCATAGGCACATACTTTATTCCCCTACAGGGTAGTTATATTACCTAGAGATATTGAGATATTGTAATACCTCAAAACATCCATGTTGCACTTGTAGTACCAAAACTCTGTCCAGCCAGAAGTGAGCCTATTCCCACTTATAATGGACAGTGGGTATAATACACCTTAACACCTGAGTGCGAACCACTCACCATGATACTTAAATTAATAGATGTTATTTATATATTTCAGGATATTACAAATAAAATCATTTTGGAAACAATTGATATCCCAAAATCAAACAAAGCCAACAATGACAAAGTAATATATCAGTTTTGACATAACTTGAATACTAGAAAAGCCAGACAAAGGTGTGCACAACAGTGACAACATAACTTAACAATTTCATTATTTTGTAGGATTAAAGAAAGGTTAAAGAAAATCATGTTAAACTGAACAACAAGAATCCCCTAACAACTCCAAAGAAACCTACAAGGAAGACACCGGTATTATATTTAAATTATCTCTATCTCTAAATAGAATAAAAGAAAGTTGCTATCCAGGTCTGTAGCATGTGCTACAAATTATATTATTAACACATTTATATAATTATATTAATATAAATGTGTTAAAAAATGTATAATATGAATTATAAAAATTTTTAAGTTTTGCATGGGCAGAGCTTAGATTAATATTCTCTTATTTGTTGCAGAAAGCAAGTAGTAGTTTTAGTTTTGGAGAAGCCTCGTAGATGCACAACCAAGTAATGATTAATTTAAAATTACAAACCGAAATTCTGATGAAGACATTATAGTCACTTAAAAACAAATAGTATAATAAAATAAAAATGTTTTAAAGATAAATAGTGTTTTATTTGTTTAAATAACTTAATTGTTAAAACAAACTAAATTAAGAACTATCAAAGTTAAAAGTTTTCATCAATAAATATGGCTCTCACTGCTGCTCCACGCAGTGTATTTTGAGATGAGGGTACTGTTGGTAGTGAGGGCAGGGTCTCTTCATCATCATCAAAGATAGGTTCCTCTTTTAAATCAATTGCTATATTGTGCAATACTGCCAAAGCTACAACATACATCTTAGTGTTTGGAAGAGATGGTCTAAATATATAATAATAACTTAATAGAATTTATGTTACACTTAATGTAATAGAATAATAATAAATATTTATTTATTTAATTTTTCAAATGTAAACTGAACTTTAATGACTCCTTTTCCGTAATTAATTATTTGAATGCAATCAAAAACTATTTTAATAATGCCAAAGAAGTATAACTTCTTACGCGCGTACAAAAGTACACGCACCCTTTTTTTTTATATGTTAACGTAAAATTGTAAACACCGTTAGATTGTAATCTATCTCGCGAGATTATAAACTGTCGAAAGATTGTGAACCTCAGCGTACTGCTTACAATTTAACGTATTATTATTCGGTAGATTGTAATCTATCGAAGTGAAACCTACAAATTGTGAAACGGATCGCACCTCGCGCGCTGATTGGTTGAAAGGAATATGCCCCGCGCCACCATATTTGTTTGTTAATTAATTTGTTGTCGAATGTAAATTGATTGTTTTGATGAATGTAAATTGATGTGGTGTTGAAAGTAACTCACAGCTTTAGAAAACTTACTCTCTTACTCACAGCTTTGGGTACTTTTTGGATATTAAAATAAACACTTTATTCTAGTAAGAATTAAATAATACAGAAAGTTGCAAACAATGAAATACAAGTACTAATTAGGAAATACAAACAAGTAGGTATCGATAATTTCTATTCGGCACCCTATAATCTATCAACACGAAATTAGGTTAATTTCAATGTTAATTATTCTATAACTTTAAAATTAAAAAATGAGGATATAATCGATAAATAAAAAAAAAATATATATATCCGGAAGAATAATCATATATTATTCATCAGTATAAATCCGTATGAAAAGTCAATGCGTAAATTTGTACACGAGTAACTGTATACCAGGAATAATCTTTTCCATGATTTTAATCTCGAGTAAATCCATAGTCGTTTCTCCACGTAATCGATAGTATAGCAAGCGACAGGAATAGTAATACGCGAATAGCGGAGTGAATGGTGAACGAAAATAAAACCCGGCAAATAAATGTTGTTCTAAAACGGGATAGTGTAAGAGCATACATCATGTCAACTCGATTTTGCCGTATTATAGTGTGAAGTAAAACTTAAAAGTAGCTGTAGTCCCGAGTCCCGACTGTCCGTAGTGTAAGCTAGAGGTAGAGCTGTGTCAAACGTGTTCATTTTATTTGTTGTTTGTTTGAGGGAATTATCAAGTTTTGTCGTGTGGTTTTATCTTTTTTTCGTTAGCGAGTGAAAATGAGCGACGATAAGCGTATACGCAGTCCTAATTGGCTGTCGTCTGAAAAGGAACTTCTGTTGAGTCTAGTTCAATCGTATTTTAATATTATAGAAAATAAAAAAACTGATGGAGTGACTATAAAATCAAAATTAGCTCAGTGGAAAATTATTGCAGACCAGTACAATAGGCGCACAAGCCACTGCTTTCGCACAGCAGAAAACCTAAAAGCCCAGTGGGAGAGTTTGAAAAAGGTAGCTAGAAAAGATGCAGCAAATAATAGGAGACATATGATTCAAACAGGTTAGTATAATATTAAAGATACCTATTATCCAAAAATATGTGTAAAATAGTAGGTAGCTTATATGCTAAATGCGTGTTAATGGTTTCTTGAATAGTTGTTAATGTGCTACTGGAAACACCACATGACATAGTGTTTATGTAAATAAAGTTTCCCAAAAGAGATTTCATCAGCTCATGATGAAAGCTCTCTCAAATTGAAAGATATCTTAAGAATTAACTTTTTTTTTCATTTCAGGAAGTGAGGATCCACTATATATACCTCTGAAAAAGGAAGATCCCTTTCTTCAGCGGATCTTATGCCTAATATCCACCAGTGCTGGTACTTTTAAAATATTTGTTAAAAATCATTATGAACATCAATATTATTTAAACTATTTATTAATTTAACATTTTTGTATTAGGATTGGGGAACATGATTGAGAAGCAGAAATCAAATCGCGACACCCGGATTTCTAGGAGGCCAATCCATACAAATACGTCTTCTTTGGAACTGTTGCGTAAAAAGAAGATAGAAGCCATAGAGCTACAAAAAAAGCTTGCGGTGGAGGAAATGGAGAGAAAAAAGGTTTTACATGACCTTGATACTCAAATAAAAAAACAAATACTAAGACAAGAAAAAATCAAAACAAATTTGTTACTGATCAAGCGAAGAAGATTATTAGCTTGCAGAAACACAAAATGAATTCTCAAATGAAAATTGTTTAAACGTTGCATTATACAATGCCAGACTATTAATTTAGTCTGTTGCGTTGATTTGAAATTAAAACAGAATAAATATTTCCGAAATGACATAAATCAGATGATTGGACTGACTGACGCCATTACATGATTCTAGGAATAGCTGTTATTCCGTGCGAAACGGCGGCATAGTAACAATTCTCGAATAGGCCCTCTATTCTTAGAATTGTAGATGGTAAAACGTAAAATTGATTTACTCTCGATAAACTGACGATTTATTCTAAGATTAAGATTTACTCGTTTGGTCTAATCCAACCTAAATATATTTATTTTTATTCCATGTATTATTAATTGCAATGGCAAAGTTTTAATTATCGAACGGTTTTGATTGCTAGGTATCTTAAAAGATATTATCATTATCATTTAGCAATAGTAACAAAACCTAGGATAGGTTTTGTTCCTAAGTTTGAGTCACTTTTATTTAAACCTAGAACTATATTTGCTAGATACTAGTATACATTGTTTTATTATGACATTTCAATAAATTATATAAAATTCTCTTGTCGTTGTGTTTGTAGTTAAACTCCTCCAAAACGGCTCAAACGATTCTCATGAAATTTTGTGTGCATATTGGGTATGTCTGAGAATCGGACAACATCTATTTTTCATCCCTCTAAATTTTAAGGTAGTCCACCCCTAAATTTTGTTTTTTTAATTTTTAGATAAAAATTTTTTTATGATAGAACATTAAAAAATACATAGGTACAACACCAAATTTTCACTCCTCTACGATCAACCCCTATTTTTTATTATAGTAGATGTTTTTTTTTTATTGAACGAATAAAATGTTTCCAAGAAATAATATACATGGCAAAACAACTATAATATAACTATATGTATGACTTCGAATTCTTCCCCTTATAATGGTAAATTTTTATTTACTGGCATTACTAATATCCAAGACAGCGCGACGCTCGCACCGGCCAAGTATGTGGCAGTGTAACAACATATTTAAAATTATTCAATAATTCCAACCATATTATTTGGAATTGTAAAATTCAAATACACAATTGTTTTGCTCTGAACATAAAGATTTTTATTTTAGTACATACACACTCTACTAATGACATTATCATAAACTTAAATAAAACTGTGGCGAACAATAATACCACTCCTATTTTCCACCGCGTCGGTGATTTTACCGCTATGTGTGACGACACGGGCGCGGTGGGTGGAGCCTGCAGCCAGTGGCAGCGCGACCAGCGGACAGAGCGATTAGAACTATCAAACGCAAAACCTGTGCGCGCGAATTACGAATTCTCCCTTTATTACTTATAATTTATTTATTCTTGTCTAAACGCTTTCTCTTCTCTTATTGTGCTTACAACTTTTATCGTTTATTGACTTTGTTTCTTCTGTGTAAATTGTAATATTTAAGACGTGAAGAAGTTTCCTTTTTCTTCCTACTAGGCTAGGCGCCTAAGAAACTAAAAAAAACAATCAAAGTATATTATTAAAAGGCCGGCAGCGCGCTTGCGAGCCTTCTGGCAGTGCGAGTGTCCATGGGCGGCAGTATCACTTAACATCAGGTGAGCCTCCTGCCCGGCTGCCTCCTGTAACATAAAAAAAAGGGTGCGTGTACTTTTGTACGCGCGTAAGAAGTTATACTTCTTTAGCATTATTAAAATAGTTTTTGATTGCATTCAAATAATTAATTACAATTAAATAATCAAAGACTGGAAAAGGAGTCATTAAAGTTCAGTTTACATTTGAAAAATTAAATAAATAAATATTTATTATTATTCTATTACATTAAGTGTAACAAAAATTCTATTAAGTTATTATTATATATTTAGAACATCTCTTCCAAACACTAAGATGTATGTTGTAGCTTTGGCAGTATTGCACAATATAGCAATTGATTTAAAAGAGGAACCTATCTTTGATGATGATGAAGAGACCCTGCCCTCACTACCAACAGTACCCTCATCTCAAAATACACTGCGTGGAGCAGCAGTGAGAGCCATATTTATTGATGAAAACTTTTAACTTTGATAGTTCTTAATTTAGTTTGTTTTAACAATTAAGTTATTTAAACAAATAAAATACTATTTATCTTTAAAACATTTTTATTTTATTATACTATTTGTTTTTAAGTGACTATAATGTCTTCATCAGAATTTCGGTTTGTAATTTTAAATTAATCATTACTTGGTTGTGCATCTACGAGGCTTCTCCAAAACTAAAACTACTACTTGCTTTCTGCAACAAATAAGAGAATATTAATCTAAGCTCTGCCCATGCAAAACTTAAAATTTTTTATAATTCATATTATAAATTTTTTAACACATTTATATAATTATATTAATATATATATATATATATTTATACAATAATATAATTTGTAGCACATGCTACAGACCTGGATAGCAACTTTCTTTTATTCTATTTAGAGATAGAGATAATTTAAATATAATACCGGTGTCTTCCTTGTAGGTTTCTTTGGAGTTGTTAGGGGATTCTTGTTGTTCAGTTCGACATGATTTTCTTTAACCTTTCTTTAATCCTACAAAATAATGAAATTGTTAAGTTATGTTGTCACTGTTGTGCACACCTTTGTCTGGCTTTTCTAGTATTCAAGTTATGTCAAAACTGATATATTACCTTGTCATTGTTGGCTTTATTTGATTTTGGGATATCAATTGTTTCCAAAATGATTTTATTTGTAATATCCTGAAATATATAAATAACATCTATTAATTTAAGTATCATGGTGAGTGGTTCGCACTCAGGTGTTAAGGTGTATTATACCCACTGTCCATTATAAGTGGGAATAGGCTCACTTCTGGCTGGACAGAGTTTTGGTACTACAAGTGCAACATGGATGTTTTGAGGTATTACAATATCTCTAACTACCCTGTAGGGGAATAAAGTATGTGCCTATGCTTGAGAGGTTGAACCTTGAACATCACCATACATCATATTTATAATTAACATTCCTACCTCGACACCATCACAATCAAATTCATTGAAATCTACTTCAAACCGTTGCGGTATCATCTCTGCCATGTCCATTATGATGGTGGCTTTGTTCCACCTCCAGTTTTTGATGTTTCATGGCGATAAGATGACAACTCTTTTTTTGTATTCAATTTAGTGCACTTCCACTGATTCATCAATTGTTTTTTGTCTCTTGTCCTTATATTTGCTAGATGAAATCTGAAAAATTACATGTTTTGATTAAATAATGTGGTCATTTATGAGATGCAGGTACTTATTAAAATGTTTACTTCTCTGTTATATCGCTCCAAGCCTTCATTTTCTCCTTATTAGTCGAATGCTTAAATCTTTGTTCTCAATTATTGATATATAGGGTCGTAGAATAATATTAATTAGTATTGATTTAAATATTCAATTTAAATTACTTCTGATTATAATTCAGACGCACATATAAAATTCGCACTTGTATAATGAAAATAACTAGGTATATATATAATCTTTTAATTTGCAACAATAATTAAAACTCCTTTATTTGTTTAAAAGGTAAATGTCATTGTCAGATGTCATGGTCATTCAAAATTCTTGTTAAGCTGCTAAGCTAAGAAATAGAAATAGAATATGCGTGAAGCTAACTTCACGCATATTCTATTTCTTTTTACTTGTAGATTGTCTTATTCCCATCTCGCTCGCGCACGCTATATCATACTCCCAATTTTGTGTCACAGGTGCGCGCGCATCGTAAAATTTCCCTCTCATCAATTTTTCATAACGCGCCTAAAGAAGTACAACTTCAAAAAAATAAAACTATCAATCCTTTTTTAAGCGTTTTTTTACAATAATCCCGATGACTGACTGTTGTCAAGTACCTACATCTTTAGGTTCCAAAATGAAGAAAAAAATCGCATACCTTGTGGGCGTTAATCCTTCACACCAAGGATATGATATACCGTATCAGTTTACCTCGATGACATCCCGCTCTTCTGACTTGTAAGGGCAAGTTGATGTAGTTCTAAGGGTAAATTCAATTCAAAAATTTAAAAATCATTTATTCACGTAGGTAACACAATGTACACTTGTGATTCGTCATTAAAGAAATACATATTAATGCTTCTAATTTTACATTTACTGCCAGTTCTCAAATCAAGGGCGTAGAACGGAAGAGAAGAACTGGCAATAAACTCTTCGCCACTCTTTTTAATCGCCATGTTTTTTTTTTACACAACGTTTGTAAGGAGCTGCAACCATTACACCATGTTCCACATGACATCTTAAGTAAATAATAATAATAACATAAATTAAAAACAAAGACTTGTCCGTTATCAGCAGGAGGCATGGTGAAATAGGAGCTCGCACTTACATTCTCGTGGGAACAACACGCAAACACATAGTCGAAATAATTAACATCACAGCATACACGAATTCAAGTACGACCAGTCACCACAAGAAGCACCCGTTCACGAGTATGACGCATGGCCAGCCATCGGCCCCCTCGCCATATTTTAGGGAGAGAGACAACCCACTAAAGTAGAAAATTAAACACTCCGATGATGACTTGGTTCACTATAATTCACTTCACTGATTTTACGTAAACTAAAGCAAGATTCTTAAGAATATATTTTATAAAAAAAGTTTAGAATTTAATTAAATAAATATTAAAAGCTAACACAAGTAATCAATCAAAATTATAAGCTAAGATTCAAAGAAAAAATATATATTAGTGTTTTCCAAAACATTTTGGTTTCTTAATTGGTGTATTGACTTAAAACTTAATTAATTTATAATATTAGTAATTAGAGAGTGTTTTGTTGTTCTAGAATGTTAACACGGCATGATTGGCACGATTGGCTTCTTTGTCACGTTTTTATGTCGTAACTTCGTTTTACTTGGAAGAGTAGAGTAATAGAATTATGGACCGAAAGATAAACGTATTATGATAAGTGAATTTATTACCCTCATAATTTTATATTAACATAATCAAATTGTGATGACATTAAACATTTTTAA